GGGCGAGGAGCGGCCCCCCGCGGGATGCCGCGCTCCCCCCGCCGTGCCGCGCCGGGGGCTCTCGGCGCCGGGGGCCGAACCGCTGCGGCAGCGGGCGGGGGGCTCGGCTGCCCTGGGCAGCGGCAGCCGGGCCGCCCGCCCCGCTCCAGCCGCCGCCGAGCCGCGCTGCACTGCGCTAGGGGCTGCTGCACCTGAGCGGCCGTGTCAGCGCGGGGATGAAGCACTGCCAGCCCCCGGCCAATGCATTATGTAATTTCAGATTATATAATCCTGAAATGCGAGGGGGAAAAATTCCTCAAAACAACCCAAACCCTGCCATCCTTGCCCGGGCATCTCCTGGCGGTGCGGGGCAGCCCGTGGTCCCGGGCGGCCGCCGGGGCAGGCACGCCGGCACCAGCCGCTCGCTGCCCCCGCAGGCGCAGGGGCCGCAGTCCCCGCCCGGCGCGCTGAGCCGGGGCAGGACGGCTCGGCTCGGCTCGGCTCGGCACGGCTTGGCTCGGCTCTCCGTCCTTTCGCTTCCCGGCGGAGGCACCGACCGCGCCAGCCCGGCGCTGAGGGAGGGCGGGCTGGAGGGAGAGGGTTGCTCCCCGGAGAGGCGCTGCCTTACCTGCTCCCCGAAGTCGATGGCGATGTTGGTGATGCCGAGAGGGACCAGGAACCGGATCAGGGGCCAGTAGTTAGTGAGCGCTGGAAATTTCACCATAGTCCCAGCTGCGCGGTGACCCGCGGCGCATCTGCCGCGGCAGGAGACGGCGCGGGAGGACGGCGGGGGGAAGGATGAAAGGGCACCGGAGGAGGGTGCGTGCGTGTCCCTGTGCGTGTGTGCGGGCGGGGAGGGGGTGGGGGGGAGATAAGGGAGAAAGAGAGGAGCAGCAGAGCCCCCTAAAAATAAAGAGCCGGGGAGCGGGCGGGGGGCCGGTCCGGTCCCTCCCTGCCCGGCGCGGCGCTGGCTGGGCGGCGGGGCGCGCTGTGCTGCCGCCTTAGCAGGAGACCCGAGAGATCAAGTCCATCCCCGCCGCCCTCCTCCCACACAACAATGATCCGCCGCCGCTGCCGCCGCCGCCGCCGCTGCCGGAAAAAAAAAGAGGAGGGACACCGCCGCCAGCCACTCGTGCGGGCAGCGCTGCCATCCTCGGGGCGCGGGGGCCAGGGGAAGGGCCGGGCCGGGGGGCTGCGCGGGCCGGCGGAGCACGTGGGTTTGACACACGCTCGCAGCCGGGCGGCGGCGGGGGAAAGAGCGGCACCGAGCGGCTCCTCCCGACAGCGGAGCGGCCGCGCTGCGCCCCCCGCCCGCGGCAGGGCCGGGCCGGGCTCGGCACCTGTCCGCGCCCCTTCACCCCGCCGGGTCCCGATGGCCCCCCGGGCTTCCCCCGGCCGCACGCCCGCCGCCCTGCTCGTGCAGCCGGGGGCAAGGGAAGGCGTTCCCTAGTCGTGGGCTTCGGGCCTCGGGCAGGGGCACTCGGGCAGCTGCAGGAAGGGTGGGAGTCCTGAACCAGGGTGTCTGACCCACAGCGCTTCTGGTCAAAACCCTGAAATAAATAAATCTTGAACGATTGGCAGTATAACATCTTCATCTCTCAAGATCTCTGCCCGAGCTGTGGGCAAGGGAATGTGCTTGTGGCCCAAGGGAGCTTGCAGGAGAGCCCTCGCTGGCTGGAGCACCGGCTGCCTTCTGAGCCAGGGCCGTGGCAAGCCACGAAGTTTTGTCAGCTAAGGGTGGGAGAGAGTTGAGAAGGCAAACCCCTTCTGAACAACTTGCAGAAGTTTCTCACCATTTTCAAAATTGCAGCATGGTTTCAAGGTTTCATTGTTACTGAGTTTCTCTGGGTCATTTAGGTTTGCGGTGTTATCTTCACCTTGCCCCCTTCAAGGAGAGTTAGCAAATATTTTGGGAAGGTGGGAACCCTGTGAGGAGTCAGATACCTGTATCTGATCCTCAGAGGAGCAGTGGCCAGCAGAAGAGTGCTGCAAAGCCTCCTTCTCCCAGAGACAGCTGTATTAAAATGTCCCCGTGACCAAGCACATATTTGGAGAGTCAACAGGAGGGGAGCTCAGAAAATCTCTGGTAGGCAAATGACAGGCTGTGGGGTGGGGCTGGAGAAAAGGAGTCCCTGATTCCTGAGGTTCTTGGCAAAGTCAGCCCCTGTTGTGCTGGAGGCTTTTTCCCTCCTTTAGCTGGAGTTTGTCTCACCTATCAGCCCTTGAGCTGGAGCAGCCGTCGCTGTGAGCACAGGGGACCAAACTCAAGTGCTTATAAGAGCAAACCTGCCTTCATCCTGTAGATCACTTACAATGCCACAGGCATGGTGTCCTGGAGCGAAGCTGAGAAAAACAGGAGAGGACCATGGACTGACAAGAGGGACGCAGAAGTTGTTTGTGATTGCCTAGGAGTGTCTTTGGTTTAACAGCACCAACTCTTCGTCATCCTAAGGGAGAGCTAATCATCTCCAGATGGACCAGTGGTTCATCCATCGGACATCTTCGAACCGTGTCCACTGAGAGGGAACATTTGTCTTCCAGCCAATCTGACTAAAGCTGGACTTGAAGGAGAAATTCTTAGAGATGCAGTGGCCTTACACCAGCTGCCTTGTTTTACTTGTTTGCTTGCACTGAGCTGAATTCCCTGCCAATTTAGGCATAGCCTTTATGTACACTGAGATGTAAGTTGCAGGTCCTTTTCCTTGAAGCAAGCCTTGTGTCTTTTGAATGCAAGGCTGGATATATATTGAAGCATTAATTCAATATTACATTCTTTCTTCCTGAGAATGTGTATGGTTTTAGATAACTGTATTGCCAGTAACTAATTCCTTCCTGTCAGGACTAGATTTTATTGTCATTGAGCTCATTCCTCCCTGCCATGGGTCTGAGAACAGCTTGTAGGTGAAATTATGGAAGAATATTTTTTTTAAACTTCATATTTTAGAATGCTTTCTTTGCAAAGTGTGCCTCTTGTTTCAGTTTAGAGAGATTCTTTATATAAGGGAAAGAAACATTTAGTGCTGTTTTTGAGTCAGAGAAAAGTGAAAGGGAATCCCCAAAGCCACTTGTAAATATATGATTTTAGCTTGCCATTTGAAAAGTCCAGATGAGCTGATGTTTGAGAACTACCTCCTCTAATTCCTGGAAAAAAACCAAGCCACCCCAAAATTAAAGCTTTTTGAATCAAAACATTTGGATACTGTGTGTCTCATAGTGCATAGTGATTATTTGTCCCAAAGTCATGTTCAGTCCTGGAAATACTGAGAAACCCAAGTAGTTTAATGTAGTATAAGAGAAGTATATCCATTTGGAGGTTTTGTATGTGTTCATAAGGTAGTTAACACTTTTTAATTCCACCAGATAATGAATCATTCCCCTTACATCTTTAATTCATTTTCATCTGATCGGTCACTTGAGGGCTGTGGTTAATTTTTTATCTTCTTGCTGCTCAAAGCAGTACAGTTTTATTTTAAGAGTAGTTTTACATTTTACCTCCTCACATGTATTGTAATGTCCTGGGCAAGTGCTAACCTAACTGATGCTTTCTTGAGTTCCATTTTTTAAAATCATACTTAATAAAGGGTTAGACAGTGTTTCAGGTTTGTCTTTCTGCTTCCCATTCCTGTCTTCGTTTTCTGGACAGACTAGTTTTTGTGTCCTTCTCTTTCAGCCCAGGTCATGTTTGCTCCTTGGATTCATTACAGAAGCAAAATTGTGTTTGCTGTCAAAGAAAAAGGATGGTTTCTCACATCTTGAAGTCAGTAGTTTGCTCAGCTGATGAGCTGAGGAAATAGGTCATTTTAGCTGTATTGGGCAAAAAGCAGTGATTAGTAATCATTTCCTTTCTAACATATTTTCTGTTACACTACATTTCTTACTCATATTCCAAACACTGTCTGTTTGTTTAGTGGAATAAAAAAGACAGAGAGGACAGCAGGAAATAATTAGCCATAATCTCACTGCTCTTTACAGAAAAATCATCTGGTCCGGGAGTATCTCAAATGGAGCCATCTCACTGGAGAAGTCCATATGAATAGAGTACAGTGCTGCAATGTGTTACAGTGTAGAAATGATGAAAGGTATCACAAAACTCTCTTGTGCCTGGTAATGAAATGTAATTGCTGCTTAAGCAATGGGGGCAAAGCCTGAAGGTGTCCTCCGCAGCAGAATGAATCAGGACAGTGCACATTACTTTTACTCACTCAGTCAGAAATCCAGCATGAAGATCAGCACATGGGCTTTAATGTGTTAGAGACCCAGTGCTGTCCTGAGCTTAAAGGAGGCCTCTTACCACAAATACGTGGTGGGAATCTTGAAAGGACCCTGCTGTGGTATTGCCTTACTTCAGAACCATGCCTCTTTTTTCCTTGTTGAGGCTACTCCTAATTACCTGCTAGAGAAAACATGTCTTGGATTTGTTTTTTGAATCACCGTGTTTAGGTTTTCCATCTCTAGTTGGCTGTTTAGCTGTCATCCCTTCGTTTTGGAGCTACTGGGTTTCTTTCAAACCTTTTCTTCTACATAGGATTTTTTCCTTATGATCTGGTGATTTTAAATCACTCATTGTACAATAAACTCAAACCAGCAAATAACAAAATTTGTCAGCCAGTCATCCCATAAGAGTACAGATGAGCTGGATTTCCCAGCCTAAAAAATGGCCAGTGATTCTGGTGTCTGAATGTCTGTGGGCTCAGAGAGTAAATGATGACTTTTTCCTATATGTTTTCAGATAAAATGGAAGGACATCTCTGCAGTCATATTCTGCTTTGGTCTTGAGTTATTCCTCCCCCAGCAACAGCTTCCTCTTGCAAATTTAACTTTTAAGTTGGAACTGAGTCTGATGCATATTTCCAGCTCTTTACACCACAGCAGTTAAAACAATAAGATAGTACTTTAAAATATTGTAAAACTATGACTGAATGTTATTGAAGGAATGCTCAGAATGTGAGTCTTGTGCATAAAATGGAAAAATACTCTTTCCCATTTAGTGTTGAGGAATAAAAACAAAGAAATTCTTCTACACACTGATTTTTTTGGGGGTCTGACCAGACACACCTTTGCAAGGAATCTTCAGGACCCAACTGAAGATCCCCTTCTTTCCCTGGACCTGAGTTCTGCAGAAAGCCTGTTTCTAGTGTCTCTTTTCCTGCAAAGGACAGGACAAAGGAGGACTAGAGACACAACACTTTCTCTTACCAGGGGTCAGCAAAGCCTGAGTCACTACAATCACTGTGAGCTGTGCAGAAGGCCTTTACCTCAAAGGGTTAGTGGAACTCTCCTTGTCTCACTCCTTCTGCATCAGCCTTAGGACCAAGGAGCACTAGGTTCTTGGGTTGTATGCCTGGCCATGGCTTCTAGGCTGATGCAGTTCACGACTGTAAACTACAGAAGTGCTGCAGGAAAAGAATATGTATGTAGCATTTTATTCTGTGAATTGGTAAGGTTGAATTGAAAGATCAGAAAGCAGCCAGAGGAATTGGGTTGTCAGTCAGACAAGTGTCTGACTAATACAGTTCTGATTTAGCTGCTTCTCTGTGTGAAGAATAAAAATGGTCTTTACAACTGACCTATGCCACTTGCCTGAGACCAGCCTGCTCTGAACGCAGCTGGCTTGTCAAGTTAGATGATAAGGATGGTGCCCCTGCAGGAAACCCATGTCTTTCTTTTTTGGCTGGCACAAGCGCCCTGGCGGCAGCTTCAGGCAAAATTATTTCCCAGCTGATGAAGCAGAAGAAGCTTCCTATTAATTCTTGGTAGACCAAGATAAAAATGATGTTGGGTTTCAGTGGCACAAGGAGACCTGGGTTTCTCAGTAGTGCCTGACTTATTTTTCGAATGAGACTCAAAGTGCTGTCTCTGGTCACCTGCAGTGGAGGACTCGTGCAGGATGTGCCTTCTGCCACAGGGCACCCATGTACAGATCCACGGGCTCTGTATCCCCCATCTTTACAATGGTGTCTGCTCTATGGCTCAGCCTCACGGCCTGGGGTGATCCCAGCTGTATGCATCACTCGTGGCACTGGCCTTATTAGTGCTCTTTGTTCTTTGGGCTTGTGTTCTGAGCCCAAAACTGTATCTTCTCCTGATGCAGCCTGGGGCACGTGACTCTGCAGCAGCTCCCACCCAAGAGAGCTGGTGGGAGCAGCTGGGCTCCAGCTGCCCTTGGGGCTGCTCAGGGATGCCCAG